TATCTGGATATTCTTGATGGACAGTGTTGTTGAGTACCTGGGTATTCTAAATAGACAGTGTTGTTGAGTACCTGTGTATTCTTGATAGACAGTGTTGTTGAGTACCTGGGTATTGGTTGATTACAGTGTTGTAGAGTACCTGGTTATTCGTCTTAGACAATGTTGTAGAGTATTATCGACAATCGTTGCCAGAAAACTCGAAGATGCTCGAATAAGTTTAACATCAGTGGCGTAGCTAGGGAGGGACATATATCTCCGGGCGCCACGTTAAGGGGCGCCAAAATGAGTATTAAAACTAATTATTTAATTTTATTTGATGTAAACTGATGTATCCCAAATACGTTTGCAAGATTGAATTTTGGAGCTCCACAAATATCTTCATTACAAACCAGTTGGCAAGGATGATTTATGCGCCCCCATTGGGCATTAAGGGGCCGCCATTCTACTCATAAACAAATGACACATCCACAATGTAGGATCGCTGAGGGCGGTTTTTTTAAAAACAAAGATCAGTTCGGGTTCAAACATTGGCGTAGCTAGGATGGTGCGGGGGGTGCGGACCGCACCGGGTGACACCATTTTAGGGGTGACACCCGAATGAAAAATTGCATATTTACAGGGCAAACATTGCTCTCAAAAAACGAGATTCATAAAAGAATAACTGATCACACATATATTTTTCACAAATCCAAATCCGTGCTTTATTAAAAGTTCAAGGTTGATGCGTCAGAAATGAGATGATCCTATACTTAGGTCAGAAAAACTCAATCATTATTCCACGCCAATTGAAGTGTTCGGTAACGTCCGTAAGTGACAGGAGGCTATATTTATATAGATTCTGAGAAATAGGGCGGTGTAGTAGGGCGATTATAAGTATACGAATCGGTAAAAATTAAAAACATTATAAATGAATTTTTGCCCATTTATAGCGTTAAAAATTATATTATTTTACAATAATTCTCTTTTATTTGACAAAACAATGGATCTAGGGGATGATGCAAAATGGCGAGAAAATAGGGCGGTCTTGGAGTTGGTTTTCTCACTTTTCAGTCATAAATTGAATTGTTTGTGCTGCAAATTGTTTGCTGTTAATGTTACAGAAACAACATCCAAATGTGTTACTGACTTTGATAAGCGGTGAAAACTGAGCCCAAAATTACAAAATCATGAAGCATCGGAAGAGCGCCTATGTTGCCTTGAAAAGTGGAAAGCATTAGCAGCAGAACTTAGGATACACAAAACAATTGATGCCGAAAGTATTGCTGTGATGGACAGGGAAAAGAAAATGTGGAGATATCCTTCACAGGTTGCTGTATATCACATTTTTCCTTGCAAAGCAAATTCTGGCATTTTGTGGCCAGATCGGAGACAAATCTTCACTAAAACTTTATTGAAATGGTTGATATGCTATCTAAAGATAATCAAGTGCTAAAAGAGCACCAAATGAGACTAAAGAGGAGTGCAGCTACATGAAAAAGCATACGCATCTTACCTTTCACCATAAACCTAAAATGAATTTATAAATGTCCTTGAAAGCATATGAAAGAGATTTTTATCATGGATATAAAGGCTGCGAGGTATTTTGGAATTATGTTCAAAAGTACACCTGATATATCACAAACTGACCAGATATCTGAAGTGACCAGATAAGTGAACATCCACAAAGGGAAAGTTGAAGTGAGAGAAGTTCTTCTTGGATTTTTCCCGTTAAGAGGGACAAAAGCTGATGCCTTCATGTCTGAAATTCTTGCAAATCTGAAACGTGATGGACTAGACATAACAAGAGGCTATTCAACACAAGAGTCTAGTATCAGCAAGTGAAGAAGAGTTATTGGTGTACGTTCCAAAAGTAACTTCTTTCTATGATGAGTTATCAGAAGCTGAACTTTCAAAAGAAATACCATGGCTTAAAAGACATCTAATGGCAGCTAATATTGAATTTTCACAAAGTCATTGGCAGGTCAGTAATTAATGTTTTGAAATTCAAAGCTGATTGGGACTTCCTAGAATCTCTTCCAATACTCTCGCTAAGTTTTAAATTTTTTCTTACGTTATGTGAGCGGAGCTTTTCAAAACTAAGGCTCATCAAGAAATATTTATGATCCATCATGGGACCGTCAAGGTTTTCTGATATGGATCTGCTATCTATTTAAAGTGATACATTGAAGGAAATTGATTTTGATCAAATGATTGACAGGTTTGCAGCTTTGAAGACAAGGAAAGGAAAATTTTAAATACTTTAAATGTAATGTAAAAATAACTATAACTCAACGTTGTTACAGTTGTTAAATTCCTTGACCTCATGAACTTGGATTTATGTGTTTTGTTCTTGTTATTGTTATACTGTGGACTTATCTTAACAAGAAAAAATCGATCATAGAAGTTGGGGGGGGGTGGGGGTGACACCGTGAGTTTACCGCACCGGGTGACACCAACCCTAGCTACGCCACTGGGTTCAAATATTATTCTTCATAAACTGAAAGTGGCATTTTGGTTTTACCAATTATACAGGTTGGATAATTTCGAGTCGAATATAGAATTTTACCTGAGTGCAAGGAAGATAGAACATTAGTTCACATAAGTTGAAAAGAGAAAGATAGATAACAAGTATTCGTCTCTTTGAATATAATCCGTAGCTTTCTCTCACTTCCACCAGTATAAAACAGTATACAATGTTGGAAACTTTCTCTCTGTGATCAAACTCATTGCTCAGTATGATCCACTGTTGGAAATAACCTACAACATGCCCGAGAAAATCCAGGTTCAGTATCTTATTTATCACCGGAAATCCAAAATGAATTTATCCACCTACTTTCATCGACTGTAAGGAATCAGATATTGAGTGAAATCAGAAAAAAAAACAAATACTACGGTATCTTACTTGACTCAACACCCGATCTAGGACACCGGGAACAGCTTTCTCAAGTCATCAGATTTGGGGATGTGGATTTTCAAACTAAAAAAGTAGCCATCAAAGAATCATTTTTAGGTTTTGTTCAGATCCATTCCAAAAGACGCAGTAAGCCTTGAAAGAGTTATCGTAGAGAAACTGGAATCTGATAACATACCTCTAGCCGACTGTCGGTCACAATGTTATGACAATGCTGCTGTAATGACTGGACATATATCCGGCCTTACACATCGAATATGTGCCAGAAATCACAGAGCATTGTTCGTTAACTGTGACAACCACAGCTTAAACTTAGCAGGAGTACTCTCAGCTAAACAGGATCCAGTTGTTATCACATTTTTTGGAACAGTTGAAAGTATATATTTGTTTTTCTCTCGTTCAACAACTCGTTGGGAAGAATTTAAAAGAGTTGTGCCTCTCACAGTGCAGAGGGAGTCTAAAACACGCTGGATTGCACGATCAGAAGCTGTTGAAGCTATTTATGAAGGACTAGATGAACTAGTAGGGCTGTTGGAAAAATTATCAGAAGATGCAAATATGACGCCTGAAACCAGAAGTGATACAGAAACTTTGCTGGCAGGTATATTAAACTTTAACTTCCTAGTTTTGTTAAATTTCTGGAACATCATACTTGGGAAAATTGATCGTGTCAAGAAACGGTTGCAGGATCCTACTATGAATTATAAGCAAGCAGCATCTGATCTTGAATCGCTGGACCAAGAACTTGTCAACATTCGTGATAATTTGAGCCAAGTTGCCGTAGACAATGGAAAAACAAGATGCACGACTTGGGGAATCGAGCTTGACAGAAGGATTAGACGATATCGGAGAATGCCTGGAGAATTAGCAAGAGATGCAGGACTTTCTGCAGAAGAAGAAATTGCTCGTGTTATGAACAGCGTAATTGATGGACTCCAAGAGGAGATATCAATACGGTTTTTACGTCTAAAAAAGCTAAACACCAAATTTGGATTTTTACTAGACGTCAATACTCTTATCGCTGAGACAAATGTCGATAGACTTCATCAAAATTGCTTAGATTTGGGAAATTTCTTCGAGACTGACGTCAATGATCACGAATTATGCACAGAAATCGGAGACTGCAAAATGCTGCACAGTACCCGGACTGAAGTTCTACCGGAAACTCCTTTGGATCTTTTCGTTTTATTGTTTCATATGGAGATGACGTATTTCCGAATCTGCGCATTTCACTGCAGATACTTTAAACAATTGCTGTTTCAATTGCAAGCTGTGAGCAGTCCTTCAGCAAACTAAAGCTTATTTTGTCTTATTTACGTGCTGCAATGGGACAAGATCGTCTGAGTGATCTTGAACTTCTTAGCATCGAAAGAGAAACACTTGAGAATATTAATTTTGACAACGTGCTTGACGAGTTTGCGACAAATCAAGTAGGATCAATTTGTTGTAGACTATGTCTATTCCAGTCACGTATAATTAGTAGAGTATATTTTTTTTCTTCAAATAAATTGTTTACAATCGTATAGAGAATTATTAGTTTGTATTCTATTTCATTAAAATACCAAATACTTCGAAAATGAACCATATAGTCCGTACAATTTCAAAATTTTCTTGGGGGCTCAGACTGAGCCCCCAGACTCTGTCGGTCCGAGAAGGGGCGCAGAATTTGTGTCATGTCCACGGGCGCAGATAACCCTAGCTACGCCACTGTTTAACACTTAGAGTATTTTAACAATTAGAGTATTTTAAAACCAGGTGTGTCTCAAAAAATATATATAATACATTTTAGCTCATTTTAATAAAAGCGTTTTCTTTTAAAATATACTTTTTAAAATCAAATTATTTTTTTAAAAACAATAATTGCCATTGGTCCTTGTGAATTGTGTCTTGTGTGCTCTATTGACAACCTGAACATGTTCTTCTCTACAATTATTTTCACATAAACTTTTTTGTTCCTCCTCGAACTCATTAAAATTTAAAAAGTGTGTAGCAAAATCTCTGATAGAAATGATTTTTCGATTCATAAGGATTTTAAAAAATATATATCATTATAATCCATTTAGAAATTATAAAAATTTAAAATTTTTCCTTATCCAGGTTTTTCTCTAAATTTAGACCGGAAAAGACTTGTATTAGTTCTTTTCACTTCAGCCTCTATTTGGCAACTAACCTGTGTAAGCTTCTGTCGTAATTATTTTGTTAAAACACACGTTTTTAAAATTGTTTTATGTAATTAAACATGTTTTCAGACAAATATGTTCTATGTAATTAAATTTAAAGTGTAAAGAAATATAATTAATGTTCCATTATTGAGTATTAGAATTAATTGTATATGTCAACCTGTTATCGATAACCTTAATGCATTGCATGCACGTGGTTTGCTGTTGGTTAACTCCGGATGCTAAAACTTCTTTTTATAAACAAATATATAGAAACTTCAAAATAAAATGAAATTGGATCCCTTCATTTAATGTAATGGGTACGTTAAATATTTATATTTGGTGATTTAAATTATCTACTGCATCAGAAGACAGTAAGTTCAGTTCAAAAATCTTTTTTCAGGTTTGATGTGCTTTTTTAAAACTGGGCTTTTCTTTTTTCTTTATTTACAATATATATTTTTTAAAAATTGCTTTAAATATGTCTTTTAAATTTCAGCTTGAATATCAAATATCTAGACAATTTATAAAAAAGAAACATTTTAATGATTTAATGTATGAAAAGAATCAGAATATGTAAGCTGAGTTTGTAGGTACTTGGGTAAAATTTTCAAAATGAATTTATAGCTTTAAGAGCTAGTTGGTTAGATAGGGCCTGAAAATGCAATTCATTGCTACCAGATTTATGTTCGTAGGTCAATTCTAAAGAAAGTTATGATTTTTTTCGTGAATTATTTAGGGATAACTCTGTTAATTGAGACATATAGGAAAAATATAAAAGTGACTAAAATAAAAATTGGGAAGAGAGTTAGGAGAGATGTTAAAAAAGAGCAGTAAATTGAAGTTATTTAATGAAGAAAACCATAACAAACCATATAAATCCGTGATCGTCGTAACATCCAAACAGATAATAAATTAATATAATAAATTCTACGGTACGCAAGATAAGCTCATTAATATTCAAAATGGCCGTACAATTTCCATGTGTCATATTTGAATATGAACATAACATGAACAATTTTCTTCAAAATATAGGGTCATGTATATCAAATTGTTCGTATTAAAAAGGGGAAAAATAAGTAGCACATGGACGAGTGAACCAATGTGTCCATTAAGAAATTTAATTTATTTTATATCTCCGATAGCAAATCAATATCCGATATTAAATGTACTATATGTATATTATAGTAGGAGTTTTTTTTGCATATGGGCGGGGTATCTTTCAATTCTATCTTCTGTTTGCTAAGTGTAGCATTAGCTTTTCATAGAATCCCTACACTTAAAAAAGAATTGTGCTGCTTCAACTATTGCCTACAAATTGCTTATATGATTAACATTATGAAGTCAATGTCATTGGATAGGCCGTTAAAAAAATAAACAAAAGTATTTTTGTGTGTGTGAATCATTTCAAAGTATCAATTCATCTAAATAATAAACAAATCTTAATTTTAAGTCTATTATGAAGATAAAATAAACTTTTCTTCTTATTTCCATGCTACAAATGTGTCAGGTAGCTTAGACCAAACTCCCTAATAGGCCTATTATATGGGAGTGGAAGTTTCACTATTTAAATAAAGAAATACAATTAAATATCTATTCATATGTCTTCTTTGTTAATAATATTAACCTCAAATAACTTAAAATAGTGCTTTTAACATTGTTTATTATTCAGATTACTTAAGATTTAAAAATGATTTGCTGAGGTGGATTCGGCCATCTTGAAAATGATATCCAGGGAGGAAACAACCATGTGGTGACTGAAAATTTAATAAAATCGTTAGGGTAGGTTGGGGGGACTTTTAATTTGTTCATTCTTGTAGATAATTGGATGCTCTAAACTGTGGTTATCATGAAATTGAGTCTGGTGGAGTCTCTGCGAAATATTAAATAGTACACTTAGCTTAATTTAACTTGATATATATTTTTGTTTTTCAAACGTGATTGAAAATCTGAAGACACTGTATTATTCAGCTTCCAATTCTCTTTAAAATGATATATCACACTACCTATTAAATAGAGAAACAACCACAAAACACATTTTTTTCCAATGCATATGCAATGTTTATATTATATTTTGAAGTGGACAAAAAGTTGAACAAGGGGCACGTAACTCTGCAAATATTTGACACTAGCAGAAAACTGGTTTACCCAAGTACCTAGAGTTTGACATAACCAGGGTAATAATGAAAATGAGGGCAAGGGAATAAGTCGAATAAGTGATAAGAGTGGGCAATGGGGCTGGTGACATACTTTCTGTTTGTGCGCATCCACATATTTTCTACATTCTTTTTGTAGACACGCATGTTTCACTCTCCACTGCCTACGATGGTATTTTCAGTAAAATTTTATTACATAATTTGACACAATTAAAATATTGTCCGATTGCCATGAATGATACATCATTTTAAAGGGCTAGCTATAATTATAAATGTGTAAATGCAGACAGATGTAGCCATGACATTGTATCACATGGCCGCCATCTTGGTTGCCGCAACCCGTGAACTTTGACTGGTTCATGGGTTGCCTCAACCAAGAAAAATAAATAATAAAACATCCTAAACCTAACCTGGGTATTGTCCCTAACCCGAACCCTGAATCTAACTCAAATCCTAAAACTAGCCCTAAAGCCGCAAGTAAAAAAAACACATGGCATTTTCACACTGGCAAGAAAACTATGAAAATTAACAAAAACAATTTTTAAAATGGCCACATATTATTATAAAATAAAGAAATAATGAATACCCAACTTACAGTTTCATATCATACACTTTTACACACTTTGGTTCAGGTTTCACCGAAAAGAATACCCATAAAATGAATAAAACAATGCATGTCTATGGCCCCAATTAGTTTCAAAGATGGCGGAACAACTAAAATATTATTATTAATCAACCAATGAAATTTTAACATATAATTAATTAACCAATAAAAATGTAATCAAAACATGGCATTGTCATATTAAGGAAAGTGTAACTCTTATTAACAAAAAAATAAGTTGAGTGTCATCCTAAATCTCTTTGCATTACCCTAGAAATGGGCTTCTTTTTATTTTGTTGCAATTTGACCTTAAGTAATTGTAATTTTTATAATGTTTTGTGAAGTAAAATGTAGTTTTTAAAATATTTTGGGATACTTATCGGTCAGGCTGATGATGTGTTACATTGTATATAGATTTAGAGCAGACCTGTTCATTCTTATGATTTTGAGGTGTATACACGTTTGAACGATTTTGTGATATGGTACGATTTTAAGAGTATGAGGGTAAACAGGTCTGATAGAGATTCTCCCATATCAACTTCCGTCATCTGTGTGGTATTTTTATTTATTTATTTAGGCATTTTTTAAAAAATTCTTTTTTTTTAGCGCTTACCTTACAGCTCTAAGCGCTTTACAGCATGGTATATTATGCATAGGCAGCTTCTCCTATCCAAAATCAGCCTAAATAGAGAGGAAGAGAGTCCTACCACAAATGTTTGCAGAACATCATATCAATCTTCATTTAACTTCAGTTTTTCATTTAATAAACTTTACTTTATTTAGTAGAACTTTTAACTTTTTAGGTCTAGTACTTCTCTCATCATTCTTATCTCTATTTTGTTTTGTAGGTGTCGTTACCCTCTAAACACTAAAGATGTCCGGAGGTCTAGAAGTGCTCAACCTCAAGGAAGAGGATATGCTAAAGTTCCTTGCAGCTGGTGTGCATTTGGGGTCAACTAATGTTGATTTTCAGATGCTTCAGTATGTTTTCAAAAGGAAACCTGATGGTAACTGTTTGGAATTCTGTATTGTGTAAATAAGTGATATGCCTAATTATGCTCTTTGGGATTTAACATGCAAGAGAGCGGGTCTATAGAATTTAGGCCCTACTTTTTTTTTCGAAATTTTAACAGCATAAGTGCTGGGCAGTGATGCATTAGTCTTGTACTCATTGGGATATCTAGAGATCGGGTATATTATTTTATTTTTTGTGTGGTTAAAATAAGAATTTCCTTGCATTTATATTATGGCTTAGAACACAAGTTCCCAATCATTGAATTGGAACCCTCAAATGAGATTAGGAAGGATTTTGTGAAGACTTGTTGGCAAAAACATTACTGCACAGACCTGTTACCTCTTACAAATTTTGCTTACAAAAAATGTTTTTGAGATATCTTTTATGATTGTACGCAGAGACCCGTCAGAACTATGATTTTAAGAGACGGGATTGAAAATATATAAGTTCCTGTAGTTTTTTTTCCTTGGTTATTTAAAAAAAGCTGAAAAGTAAATTTTCGCTTGTTACTTTAAACTCACATTTGCATTCTACATCCAGCAGTGAACGTATCAAATAATGCTATTGGTTTGGGGCCATCTATAAGTATGTCACGCTTGCCCTAAGAAGGGAATGGAGTAATATTGAATTAGAGATTTTCCAAAGAACGTGGGGGGGGGGGGGGGGGGTTGATCTAAATATTTAAATCTATAAAATTAACACAGCAACATTTTCATTGTGATTGGGGGCTTGGTAGAAAGTACATCTTCTTTCTTATGCCTTTTTACCCCACAAGAATTTTCCATTCATCATTGGTCCTGTGCGTTCCTTTTCAGTTGCTTTCAGGTGTATCCCATATTTTGCGTGTCTGAATCTAGCTTGTGTCTCAGTGTATTCTTTGGCCTTCCTCTCTTTCTTTATCCCTGTGGATTTCATGTTAGAGACTGTCTGGTGATGCTATCGTGGGGTTTTCAGAGTGTTACCTATCCATCTTCTCTTATGATGTATTGGAGTAAGTCCTTTCTATTAGGTATTTTGCCATTTGATATGTTCAGGATCTGTTTGGTTCTGGTAGGGTAATTTGCTGAATCCATGTACTGGCATATGTGCAATGGTTGGGGAAGTGATCTTTCCAAGGCATGTATTTATGAAGGTCTGTACTTTCTGCGTAATGCTCGCTGTTGTTTTCCAAGTTTCAGCCCCATACAGTGGAACTGTTTAGACATTAGTGTTAGAGATTCTGACTTTGGTTTGCAGCTTCAGCTCCTTCTACTCCCATATTTTCTTTAATAGCACAAATGCTGATCTGGCTTTTCCAATTCTGGCACCTTAATGTCGATGGTGCTGCCAAAGTATGTGAAGGGTTTCATTTCTTCCAGTGGCGCTCCTGCCAGAGAGATAAGCTCTTGGTTGGCTGAGTTTACCTTCATGATCTTCGTCTTGCTTTCATTTATATCGAGTCTGAGCTGCGAGAAAGTACATACATTATTTTAAATTTTCGACAATATTCATCCTGTAAGTCCAGAAACTGCATATTTATATGTCGTATGCTGTTAAAAGGTCTCGCAATGTTTATAGCATCATGGTCAAAATTGTGCCTTATATTTTCACAAATGAACTTGCTAGATATGCTTAGATAGTTGTAGAGGTATTACAGTAATATTTAGTCCACCATATGTACCGTTATTTTCTATAGCTTGAGCATATAGCATAGTTTTTAACTCTGTTGACAATATTTTTAAACTTTAACTTTGTGTTTTAAAAACTTAAGTTTAGGGTAGAGAATTAGACAAGTATTTTTATGATTTATTTTTTTCCCAACTTATAACCTATTATTTCTTAGAAATGAAGTTTAGTATTTACTAGTTGGTTTTAGCTTTGTTGTCAAGGCTGAAACCAAAATTGTTATCTTAATCCAACCATTTTTTTGCTTTCCCTTCAGGAATTTACATTGTAAATTTGAAGAAGACTTGGGAAAAGCTGCTTCTTGCAGCGCGTGCTATTGCAGCCATTGAAAACCCAGCTGACATCTGTGTCATTTCTGCACGTCCATATGGTCAAAGGGCTGTGCTCAAATTTGCTTCCTCAACTGGGTCCACTCCTATTGCTGGTCGCTTCACACCTGGTACTTTTACCAATCAGATCCAGGTAAACTGTTCAAGAGGGGGCTGTATGTTTCCTAATATCGACCTTATATTTATTTTAACTTAGCTTTAATCGCTGTGTTTTTTTTTCTTATTTGATTGTTAATAGGTTCTAAATGATTATGGCATACAATGTGCGATTTTGAGATGCCTGTTACGTTTGTGCGCCGAGACCAATCATACCTACAATTTTAAGAGACTGGATTGAGAATATTTCAATTCCTGTAGTTTTCCGATTCAAATGAAAATAATTAATTTAAAATTACATTTTCGGTTGTTAGTTTTAACTAACATTTGCATTCTACATCCGGCTATGAATAGGTACCCCAAACCAAATTTTCAAACTAAACCAATAACATTTTTGAGTGTTTAAGATGCAAGATCTAAGAATTCTAAGCATGTGGACATTTAATTTATGACCATTATTAAGAAAGTTATGCTATTTTAAATTTTTTTCCTCAGGTTACCTTTTATGAAATGACAAAGACCCATATTCATGAGTCATTATCTTAAAATGTATGTCACCTGCACTCATTTCCTTTACAATATTTACACAATACTATACAGAGAACAAACACAATTTTTTTCAAGAGTATGGGAAATCAAACTTTTGTAATTTATTGTCGTAAAGATGGTATTTTGTAAAATTTTCAAATTTTACCAAGGGAGGCAAAAAATCACAAAAATTACCTATTTTTAAAAATTCACCAAAAATGTTGTAATTTACTCATAAACATCATTGATATATCAATTTAAAAGAGAATCAAAGATCTATACAAGTATGCAAACAAGAAGTACTTTAGCCCAACACATATTTGACAAATAGCGAAATGGTCAAGGGGTGGTAATTTATTTCACACTTTTTACACATTTTTAAAATTATAAAAAAAATAATAAATAGCATACTATATGTATGAAATCTCTTATAAAGTGAAGATAATAGTAGTCTTCATATAAAATAAGCATACCTGACACCATAAAATAACCATAGAATAATTTAAACATTTGACAAAAGTAGTGTACAAAAATGTTATTTTTTTAAATTTTCTTTTTCGAAGCTTGACTTAAAATCCAAAGGACACAATATAAAACAAGATAATATATATTTTACAACTCTTTGATTTAACATTAGGAAATACACTAGAAAAAAATGTGCAAATTCGTAACTACAGACTGGATGGGTACATCACTTTAAAAAATCAATTTACATACCGGCATTACTTTCTTCTGAAAATGCATTTTGAGTAAATTAGATATATGGATAATATCATCACTTAATTTTAAGTTATTAGATTTAGTAATAAGCTTCATTAGAATAGAAAAATAATATCAATGCCACCATTCAAAAAGTACCGGTAATTCAATGTAGATTTGTCTGTAGATTTTAAAAAACAACCTTTGTAAAAATCAATAAAACAGACATTTAGTACTCCCTCTGACTTAACTGACTGTGCTGTTGACACTTCAAGTGTAAAGTTGATTAATCTCTTTGTTACTCCAAAAGAAGACTCATGAAATCTATACTGGGTATCCAAAGTTTGGCTTAGGAAAACTGTCATGTTCAAATCTTTGTGGTCAATCAATTCCCTCAGAACTTTTTCAACCATGGGTCAGATCTTAAATCCTTCTTGGATTTGAGCAAACCAGGATTCCAGCTAAAATAGGAATTAAAAACGAAATGCATGAACATATTTAGTTTTGAACAAGGATACTATTACTTTAAAATTAAATAGTTGCAATAAGAAGTTAGTGTTATGATCTTAACTTTTTACTGCCTTTAATATCCCTACGCAACAAAACTCACCATACCATAAAGCTCAACACCATGAACCAACTTCACAACCTACAACTCACAAAACATTCTTCCCCTATCAAACATTCAGGCTTCTAATTCTACATCTAGTTTAAAAACAGTAAGTACCTGCTCCCATGACATGATGTGTAATTTGCTTCACAACAGAAGCAATGGTAACGGCAACAGTGTGTTGTCTATAATAAGATGGGGCAAAGCTATCTTCTTCCTATTCCATTAGCCAGGAATGTTTTTGTAAGGCATCATACAGTTCACCAGCCAGCTATAGAATATAGAATACACACAATTTATAAGTTGAAACATTTTGACAGCTTTTTTCCTTCAAATTTCAATTTAATTAAATATTGCTAGTGTGGACATGACATTATATATATATGTATATATATATTATAAATATATATTTATATATATAACAAACTTAAAATGTTAAATTATATATATTAAAGTTAGTTATAATAAGCAATCTTCATTTATTACTCTTAAGTCTTAGAGCACCACCACTCAACTTTTCATTTTGAAATTGTTTTCATTACCAACGCAAAAAAAATGTCACGTGACCCTTTCTTAAACTTAAATTGCACGTAGTAACACAATATTTTTATAAAAAATATTCAAAAATAATAATAATTTGAAGTATCATCTACAACTTAAAGTATTATTTTGTTTGATAAAATAACGAGGAAAAAATAGATTCAAATTTAAAGATGGGTGGGGTCAATTTACTTCATGGTGCTGAAATGGCCGTAAAATTCGCGAAGTGGGGGTAAACACAAAAGTCAGTAAAATAATAATAATATTGCAAACATACATGCAAAAAGCATATGAACGGAATTTTAAACCAATAATACACCATATTATTTAGGTTTTACATACCTGCTAAGCGTAGAAGATCCGATAAAGCGCAATTTTCTGTATCGACTGTCGAGTGAGTCGGCCATTTTTTGAGCTTCAGTCCATGCCGCGATAGATCGGTAAAAGGAAAATTTAGAGGTTCTGTTTGGGAAATTGCTGCGGTCTCGCGATACTTCATATTTTACCATTGTTTTCGTATTTTTATGTAGAAATGGACCAGCAATCTGCCCATATAAATTAAATAGCTGAATTGGTCTTAAATCCTATAGAAATCTCAGAAAATTATCATTTTTTTACATTTCTAGTGTATTAAATACAACTTTATAAATACTAGCTTAAAGGTTATTCACTGCTGCATGCATTAGACACAATTCTGAGGTCATTCTATAAATAGCGGCAAAGCTAAACGCGATTGCCACCGAGGGGGGTAAAAACGATCTTTTAAAATACCGCTAAAACTCGATGCGGTGATGTTTTTCAAACCACAAAAAAAATTATTTTACTAACACCAATAGAAAAACAAACATCATATTCTTAAAGTGCTTGAATCGATCTTTTAAATGGTATCATTTTTATTAGTATGCATGTTACAATTGTAAGAAAATATGTTGATGGAAGTTGTCTAAAATGTAAAAAAAAACACTGCTTCTCAGCGGTTTGGAGTACCTACTATGAATGGTTCGAAAAATACGATTGGTTGGTGACATCTATATTTTTATTACGTTTGCCCTGAAAGGGAAATGGAGTGGTGTTGATTTTGTGTATGGGTGTGTGAAGGGGGCGGGGGTCTAAATAAATAGTAAATATTAGTCTATGAAATTGACATGGTGATGGTCATATTGTTGCATTGTTATTTCGTAATGAACTCGCTAGACACAGCTATAGTAATTTTAGCTAAGTTGCCTTATTGGCAATTTTAGTAAATCTGGGGCCATCCTTATAGCGCCTACGTCACTCACTATTGAGAGTAGTGTGTCGATTTTAAAGATTTTCTTATGCATGTGTAGACTTATTGGGGGGGGGGGGGCCCTCGGCGGAAAGGAAATAAGTTTTTTAAAAATTCGACAATATTTATCCTAAAATCCAAAAAATTTTTTTTTTTCCCAAAGTAGTGTGTCGATTTTAAAGATTTTCTTATGCATGTGTAGACTTATTGGGGGGGGGGGGCGCTCAGCAGAAAGTACATAAGTTATTTAAAAATTCGACAATATTTATCCTGAAAGTCCAAAAATTATTTTTTTTCCCAAACATTATTTAAATCTCAAATGTTGTGAAAATATCAAAGTTTTGTAGGAATTATCATCATAATGCTGCCTTGTGTTGTCACAAATGAACTCGCTAGATATTGCTTAAACATTGCTCAGTATTAGCAGTATTAAAGTAATTTTTCGTCCACCCTCTGTTCAACCTACTTGTGACATATTTTGTTGGGCTACGCCAGTGATTCTAAAGTTTTCATTTCCTGGCACGTATGCCACATTCAGGTTTTCACCAGGTCCTGTTTTAATTCTTACAAGAACAATTCGAAATAGCGAATGCATAAAAAAAAGGGTTTGGTAAAGTAAATATATGGCATATTTTGGTAACTAAGACTAAGCACCCCAAGAAACTGCAATCATTATTCAAGTGGAATTAAAATTCTGAAAATATGTGTAATATTTCGCAACGCCCCTGTGAGCAAGCAGCTGAGTACGAGGGTAAACAGGTCTGTTTTTGTAGTTATTGAGGGATGTGCGCGTGTTTTTTTTTAATAGGTAATTAAAGGTTAATTCTGTAACTGCCTGTGAACTTTGTTTATACCTGTAATAGCAAATTAACAATTTCTTTTCTAGGCAGCTTTCCGTGAACCTCGTTTGTTGGTGGTTACTGATCCCCGTATTGATCACCAGCCTGTAACTGAGGCCTCTTATGTCAATATCCCTGTTATTGCTTTCTGCAATACTGACTCACCTCTGCTGCATGTGGATATTTCTATTCCATGCAATAACAAAGTAAGTTTATGATTTCATCACTTTTTTTCCCAGCTTACAGTGTAAAATATATTGGTTGGCGTGAATGCACTTCAAGAATAGAGCTGATTTTATAAATGCATCAAGACCCTTTTGTTTTTGTTGCATATGGAAGTGAAGTTATGAATATAGTCATTGAATTTTAAGCTGATGATACTTGTGTGGTGTTGTTTCCCTTTAGCTAAGAATTCAAGTGGTTATGAAAGGTTAATGATTGAAGCTAAGTAGAAGTGATTCCAATTTGTGTTTTGATATAGTGTATGTTGAGTTTCAAATAAGTTTTAAATAACGATGTCTTAACAAAAAGTGATAAATTTACTTTCAGGGTCCCCAATCCATTGGGTTGATGTGGTGGCTCTTAGCTCGTGAAGTACTGCGTCTTCGTGGTACAATCTCTCGTGACCACAACTGGGAAATAATGCCTGATCTCTTTTTTTACCGCGACCCAGAAGAGGTTGAGAAAGAAGAGAAGGAAGCTTTGGAAAGAGCTAAGGAAGAGATCCCTGTACCTCAACAAGATTGGAACCCAGATGCTGGTAAAGAAAAATAACATTTATGTGTTTCTAAATGTCTTGTTCTTGTTTTATTGAGCTCAAAGGAGCCGTGATTCAAAAGTTTAGTCAGAATCAAAAATTTTTAAAACATGTTACTAGTGATGGGACGATAATCGAAATATCTGGATTTTTCCAAAGTATCAGGAATCGGAGCTGAATAATTCAGACCCGTTTCCGATACCAAAATGATTCTTAACTGATTAACTGCCTTGTAAGCTGGTGACAGCGCAAAGTTTGTTTCGCGTTATAATCATTTTGTTCCGAAATTTTTAATTACCGGCAGGAAGTTTATTTCAAACCACATGTTATCAGCAAAATGTAAACAATCTTTAAAAATTTTGGTATCGTCCCATCACTACATGCTACACTTATTATTAGATTATTTTAGTTTTATAAATTTTTATATCCATTTGTTTATTTTGGGATGTTGAATTGTGTGACATAAGCCAGGTCGGTTTAACAATGACATTTCCAGCTGTCATAGAAATTGGGTCTTGCCTGTCCACAAGTTGTTATAATTCTAACATGGACCAGACATGAAAAGAAACTGGTCATTGATTTGTACTGGTGTGTCAAAGAATTTAGATGTTAATTTTATTAATTTGTAATTTTTTCCATACCAATAATTTAAAGTGCATTGTCAGATTGTCTTTTCATTTAGATGGTACACAGCTTGTAATTTGTGAAATGTGTTCACGATATATATGATATAAATAGCCTTTGTATTTACTTCTTATCTTGTTCAGGTATTGTGGGATCAGCCGATGTCGGTGACTGGGCTGCAGAGGCGGTCAGTGTACCTACCGTGCCCCTAAGTGCAGCTACTTTCCCTCCTGCAACAGAGGATAGCTGGGCTGTTCCCAAAATGGAGGACTGGTCAGCTGAACCACCAGCACCCGCTGCCCCTGTTGAAGGTGGTGCCAGTTGGGGTGGCAGTGCCCCCGATGAGAGCTGGAACTAAAGGCCCACTGAAGCTTTACCAGTAAAGTTGGAACTCTGTCAATATCATCACACGTTGTTTGTAATATTACAATTGTATGGAAACGTTTATGGAATAAATGTGATGAACTTCACTTAATTTGTTCTTTCTCTCTGTACGCCTCTTATAGAAAGACTTGTGTGCTTCATAAAGACCATGTAACAGGGGTTACAGTTACTATAAATATGCAGCTTCTGGGATCAATTTAAATGCCATGTGATGCATATGAAATAATTAATGTCTTAGAGCTGTGGTTCCCAACTTTTTTTGAAATGCAAAGCCCCTTTTTTAGAATTAATTTCTATAGGGTATCCCCTTAGGAGTTTCCCAGAATGGACTCGGAGCCCTTGGTGAGTGCTCACGATGCCCCTACCCAAGGGCTACACCCACTTACATGTTGACAGAATTACTTGTAATTTTACTCTGCAGAAGACATAAAGTTAACATAGGAATTTTTTTAAAAAGTAATTGAACAAATTGACTTTTATATGCTGTACCTATCTCATTACCCATAAAATAGTAGGACTCCTATCTTGTACCAGTATATTTAATTGGCTCATATTTTATAACATCACCTGGAAAAATCTATTTTGAGAAAATAGATTTTAAACTTGAAAAGTAAGAAATCTAAGTTATTTATGAAAATGAAGTTCTTTTGCATAGTTTGGTTTACTGTTCAGCAACATGTATGAGTTGATTTAGACCAGTCTTGAGCTTTTGACTACACCAGGTACATGGGATTGCATTCTGTAACTTCATTTACACTTGCTCCTTAATAATGTTTGGAAAAAAAAATAATTTTTGGGAAAAGTTTTAATCCATTTCTACTTGAATAAAGGTTATGTTAAGATATTTTTGCTCAGCATTCCAGTACCAGGTATAATAGATGTGAGTCCCAATTTGGTCCATGTGCTGCCATGTGGAAACTTTTGTATAGGGTGTACCTCTTTTACATTTAGCACAGCAAGTCTTGTACCGGTACTGTACTTGGAGGTGGATGAGTTTTGTGTTACATTTGTAATAATTGGGTGGATAACAGTAACTTAGTAACACTAAATGTTCGTCAATGTTGGATGTTTTTGGCATACCACGGTTCTTACACCTTTACCCGTATTAGCTTTTGTGGTACAGATGTGATTTAAAGTTTATACCTGTTACCTGAAATAGGTTACAACTTTGAAAAACCCTGCCATTGTCCTTCAAAACCCAAAGCCTTAGATTCCAGTATAGGTACCCCGGTAGGTACCATATAAGTGATGATGACTTGATTATCCAGTTGTGGGTAAAAAAATTAGTCTAAGCACTCACAATCTGGTTTAAGATTAACACTAAAAGTAACATACCTGAGTTACCATTGCTGTACAACTCTGAATGACACAACAGTGGGTCTTAGTAAGGGGATAAAGATTAGTTTAGTAAAGCAGATATTCACAAAACATTCAAGTTTATGTGGTCAATGATCTTTCTATTATTAGTGTATTACACCGCATTGATTGACTGGGAAAGGATATATGTAGACAACCATCTATTTATTTGTGGCATTAGCCTGGCAGTGTGATAAGCAAAATATACTTACCAGTACCTAGTGGAGGGACGGCATTTTCAGTAAACTGATGAATGTTTTCTATTTTGTGGAAGAGGGGCAGTGAAACTCGTTCCTCCCAGGCGGTACTAACCTTAGCTACACCATTGCCCTCCCAGGCGGCACTAACCTTAGCTACACCATTGCCCTCCCAGGCGGCACTAACCTTAGCTACACCATTGCCCTCCCAGGCGGCACTAACCTTAGCTACACCATTGCCTAGCACTAGCTTTGTCAGAATTCATTCAGCGCTCGGCGTGCGGGATTAGTCACATACCGGTACGAACAAACTTCATCCCCATGCGAGGGTGCACACCATTCTTATATTTTTATTTACCGGTACCGGTACGTAAAAAATATACCGGTTCATGAAATCATAAAAATAACTTGACCAAGAGCCTCCTTAAAAACAAATTGAGGATGTCCGTAGAAAAAAAGAAAAGAAATTTCGTTAGGGCTTTTGAAACGACGAAAACAAAAAAGAATTTAGTGCATTTTTTGTACCGATAGTATTGTTACATTGTATTATGAACATAAATATTTTATTAGTACTATTAGTAGCATTTAAACCCTGATGTGATCGACCTGCTATTAACTATCGCTACATGTAGAACTTTGCGTCATATGACGTAGAATTATATACCGGTACCCAGTGGCGTAGCGAGGGTGTTTGGCGCCCGGGGACAAGATTCGCGCCCGGGGACAAGATCCATTTTTAGCTACCCTTTTTCTTTTTTTCAACTCTCAAACCCATTATTTTCATCAATTAAATAATATCAAAGCACATTTTGGCGCCCCTAACTAGCTGGCGCCCGGGGACATCTGTCCCCCCTGCCCCCACCACGCTACGCATCTGCCGGTACCAGGTACGGTACTTCCATGTGGTATAGCCATACGCTACGAAACTTTAATTTATTTTAGCTTCATAGTTTTTACAAATTTACATCTGTTTCCGTAAAGAAATAAAGAATAATCATCCCGAAAAAGTTGTGATGATCTCTTCTTATACTATTACCGGGTATATATAGTTCGCTTCTGGTGTGCCTGCTTCCTATTCCCTACCGACCCTCCCTCCTTCTCAACATGTTTTATAATAATAGTACTAGTACAGTGTGGAACAAATGCTGTCAGCCATCGTCATCCTCAGGTAAAAATAAAACAAAGTTAAAGGTTGAATTTGTTTTTTCGGAGACAATGTCAATCAGTATTTTTGAAAGGGGTAAAAGGGGGGGGGAGGATTCAGCAGTTTGTTTATTACTGGAGGCGCCACAGTACATAGCAATTTAAATAAAACTTGCAGATTCGGGAAGGGGGGGGGGGGCAATGCCCCACTCTGCCTACCCGAATGTCTTTCCTGGCAACAACAATTAAATTTATAATTAAAGTTAAAGAGCCACGGGTATAGTGTAGGACTGTAGTCTGTAGGCCTATTGTTTAAAAGCTGGCAGGTAGGGTGTAGGACTGTAGTCTGTAGGCCTATTGTTTAAAAGCTGGCAGGTAGCTCTGGTGGCACCATGCTCTGATGGCACCTTGCTTGGTGGCATTCTGCTCTGGTGGCACCCTGCTCAGATGGCACCTTGCTCTGGGGGCATCCTGCTCTGGTGGCACCTTGCTCTGGGGGCATCCTGCTCTAATGGCACACTGCTCTGTTGGCACCTTGCTCTGTTGGCACCTTACTCTGACGGCGCCCTGCTTTGATGGCACCTTGCTCTGGGGGCATCCTTCTCTGGTGGCATCCTGCTCTGGTGGCCCCGTTCTCTGGGGGCATCCTGCCATGATCCTGCTGTGATGGCCCTTGCTCTGGTGGCATCCTGCTCTGATGGCACCTTGCTCTGGTGGCATCCTGCTCTGGGAGCATCCTGCTCTGGTGGCACCCTTATTTGATGGCACCTTGCTCTGGTGGCATCCTGTTCTAGTGGCATCCTGCCATGATCCTTCTGTGATGGCCCTTACTCTGGTGGCATGCTGCTCTGATGGCATCCTGCTCTGGTGGAATCCTGTTCTAATTACATCCTGCTCTAATGGCACGTTGCTCTGATGGCACCCTGCTTTGATAGCACCCTACTCAGGTGTGGGGAGCCCTGCTCCGGTGGCACCCAGCTCTTGTAGAACGATTATGAAACTGTTGAAACCCGTCATTAGAGTCAATTAGATCCACCGCGAACCATTCCTAGACCTATAGCATTGCATTGAAAACAACAAAAGTTACAGTTCATTTCCTTATTTTTTCTGTTTGTTGAAAATCTGAATATACTAACATTGGAGGTAAAAACCAAATATTTTTAAGAGTTAACGTAATTATATTTCATTCTTTTATCCTTTATATTAACTTCGCTTTTGTTCGTGGCTGACTGGGTTGAAGGCTTCGGGCGGCTAATCGAGCTGAAACTTGGCACATAGACTTGTTACCAATGACGACACATGCTTTCAAATTTTCAGCATCACCCGCCAACTCCAACCACCAAAAATATCTTTTTCCTTTTTTTTTTTTTTTAAAGGGAATTATGAAAGAAATATCATGATACCGGCACTAATTCCTCGAAATAAAATTCCCGATAACTGCGGTAAATGAGATTCCTGAAAATAAAATATCGCAAGTGCGTTTGGTGCCTAATATTTTATTTCGATTTGATGAAATAGTTTGACAAATAAATCTGCAGCGTCATTAAAATATTAATAAAGTTCAGGGGCGTGGAAAAAAAATGTACGGTTGCGAATCGAATTCTCGCGAGATTGCATTGTAGCCAAACGTCCTGTCTTCTGGTCTATTTAAAATGGGGCCACTATCCTATCAGCTATCGGCCATCAGGTTCATAATGGGGGCTGCTTATTGGTGCTCAGTTCCAGGGTCGGAGCCGGCTGAGAACTGGAGAATGGGTAATTACGGGCAGCCGACAAGGGGAGATGACGCTGGTAGTTGAGATGTGGCAAGTCGTGCCAGATTACCTTATCAAATCTCGCCGTTGGCTCGTGATTGGAATACGAGACGAAAGATTTTTCCCCCAACGACTCTAAATGTTGGTAACTATTGTTTGTTGTCAGAGTGCCTTGTTCTGTTGCTCTATTGCAGTGGTTGTCAAATTTTTTCCGGCCACCACCCCCCTTGAGCCATAAACACATCTGAGTGCTCCCTTCCCCGTCTTACCCTAATTTAAACTGTCTCCGAAAAATAATTCCCAAGATCGTCAGCTGAAGATATTTCCACAATAACATGTGAAAGCGTAACATATTTCATGCTATTTAATCAAAGTAAAACTATAAGGTTTTAATGTAATACATTCCATAATGAGCCAATTATTTTGTCGAGCGATGCCTCAGCTCGTATTATAGTATATCTAACGTCTACACTGGTAATTTATACATAAGTGATGTATGGGCTTGGTACAGTCATGTATATGCTTGGTACAGTGATGTATATGCTTGGTACAGTGATTTATGGGCTTGGTACAGTGATTACACTTTGTCAATATAAATAGGGTTAGGTCTCATTATAACAGTCACCTAATGCACTA